AATGACGCCTGTGATAGAACATCTGGAAAGCGCACTAGTGCAACAGGACACACAGTTGAAACAGCGGTTTAGCGCGAATAAATGGTAAAATGAAGTTAGAATTGCAATGTGAGGAGAGAAGTGCGAAAGTGAGCGCTCAAAAAGGGCGAAGGAAACTGCTCATCTGTTGTTATTCAGTTCCGCATCAAAGCGGAAAATGGAGAAAGGGGCATTCTACGTTTCCACCGAAGATTTACGTGCACGTTAGTGTGATCAGAAGATAGCAGCTCACAGACTAATGAAAAAAGGTATCAACAGTATGCCGGTACGCAGTAATGACGCTTCGCTGCCGCACAACCACTACCGGTCGTACATGGGCTAAGGGAACTGCGATAGTCGCCCAGTCCATACGCAGAGTGGAACCCGTGTCCGCGGATTACAAGGAAAGCTTATGATCCTTTAGGCTACGTGCCGAGGATCTGTGGAATAATGACTGATTATGACGACAGGCAGTGAATGCCGCAAGGAGGCTGTCTAGCAGATGCCACATTATCCTTGTACGATAGCCAGCCGTTTGTGACGGCATGTTGACAAGGTGTAGGTGGCATAACCCTGAATGTTTGTCAAGAGCATTAACGTATTACGCTAGGTCCCGCTTCTCTCCCAGTTATCATTCTTCGCCCCGTAGGTCACCATGTTTGTACGGCAGCGAAGCATCAGTTCAAACGGTTGATGTACTGTTGTTGAAGATGATGATGCTACTAACCACACCAGATGCTGGAAAAGCGCCGAACATAAAATAGGAGATTGCTTTTCATTTGCCTGATGGCTCGTGATAGTAATGCTGCCTACCTTTGAAGGAACTGCTGGACACATTCCATTCCATCGCGAAACCGTTATACCATGAGTACAGCATTTGTGGGTCAAGTTGAGAGAAACGTCACTCTGTGAGATGAGGCACGATTAATTTATCTCCCTCTATATCCTTTTTTTAGCATGAAAGCTTTATCGAGTAATCAATCGCCTAATTTGCAGTAAGCGAACGATACAATTGTTTAGCAGAAGGACGCAGTCTGACTGCAGGCAGTTCTGCATTGAACGACGCGAAACGTTGCAGGCTTGGCCGTATGCTTTGTACCTTCAAAGTGAATGTACTATTTCGTGGCCAAACCGAAAGAACAACCAAGCGTGGCGTTACGACGCGGGGAGGAATCAATAGCCGTGGGTGGGTCTGTAAACGGGTGCACTAGTAACTAAGGAAATACGGTTGATATAGACGTGGGTTGGCCTGTGAATGGCAGCAGCTAATGAAATCGTGCACGTCGACAGTGAGAACCGACGCATGGTTCAATGCGAACAAGCGACCTACTATGCTACACCGTAGCCAACCTGCCAGGTAGAACGTGAGCAAAATGGCAGAGGCAAAAGCTCAGACGACTAGAGGACCTAGATGCCATACAGCAGAGATATGCCTGGCTTATAAATATAGTGGATATTCAGCACGGAACACGTACAGTCTGCTAAGTTTTGACTTTTGATTTTTCATCCTTTGGAGTGAACCGCCAGGCAGACAGCATTGAAGGTAGCAGTACAACAGGTGTCGTTGCAGGACTGGGTGAGTTTGCCATCCGTTGTCAGCATTACTGAAAATGTTTTGGAAGTTGGTTCTCGGCCTATCCATCCAGGTAGTTGTATTGTGTTCAGTGGTGACCTAATCAGAGAGATTCCTGCATACACCAACAGGAATTTCAAATTGTTAGGCGGCCGTAACGAAAGAACTATGACATAGTTTCGAGACGTGGTACCAATCTGATCTCTAGCGATACGTGGCGCAGGCTAGGGCGGCCGACACTCGTACAAACGCCCATACTGCATGGAATGTTTCAGGTGGTACGTTAAAATGTCTTAGTGAATTGAACTGTCAAGTCAATTTCCGGGACCAACAAATCCACACAACGTGCTTTGTGACAAACCGACCGGGGTTAGATTTGCTTGGAGTCGACTGGAAGAAGGAGTTGAAATTGCTTGATCAGCCACTAAACAGTGTACGCCAGTCACCGCAAGTCAACCAGCTGTCGCAGCCATCGTTATTAAGCCCGATGGTACAAGGTCACATTACGAAGATGAAAAGATGCAACGAAACAATGCTTCAGCCTGGTCTCAGATGCTGCAGAATGACCAGCGTTGTGCTGGATCTCGAGCAAGACGTTCAACCACTATTCAGAACAAGGCGCCCTGTGCCGAACACAAAAAAGAAAAGCGCTGCAGTAGTCAAGTGGAGGAAGATCTGACAGACAGTCCACGTCATTTCAAAATTGGTGACTATGTGTAAGCGCGAGAATTCCGAGGACCGAGGAGGTGGTCGACGGGAACAGTGATCGGCAGAAATGGTCGAGTCAGCCATGAGTTAATGGTAGGAAATAAGATATGGGTCAGGCACGCCAATCAGCTGAGGACGAATTACGGCAAGACTCAAAGTCCCCGAGGACCGCCATTCTTAGTGTGGGAAATCCTGCTAGACAAGTTTGGCTTGGAAGACGAAGCTAAGCGGCTACATGGATCACAACAAGAGTTGCAAGTAACAAGTGACGCATAATGCAGGTCGACCCGAATGCGGAGACGATCACAATGATTAAAAGTTGACCTTAAGGCGAAAAGTTGTGAACAAAGTCAAGTTCGAACGACACGCAAACAGACTCAATTCGAAAGGTATTAGGTACTAGGCCGCCACAACGAATGAACTCTATGACAAGGTTTCGAGACGTGAAGTGAGCCTGCGGCAAGTCATGCAGAAACCTGATGAAATCAGTCCGTCATCAAGACACGGGTTGCTACATGGCCGGCGTGAGGACGACTACAGCTGGCCAGCGGAGACCACTAGCGGGTTTGAATTTGTCTAGACAGGTGATATGAGTTAGCCCAGAAACGTGCAGCCGGGGGTGACGGTATGCGACTTATAAAAGTAACCGTGTTCTGTTCCTCATACACTTCGGTCTGGCAGGCCTCGGTCCTGTTTTTTTCCGGCTGGGTTTTGCAGCGCAGAGAGCAGATGCAAGGGCAGTGCTATAACACAAATCGCTCATCGCGTGGAGACACAGTGGAAAAGGCTATCTACGAAAAGATAACTTCCAAACGTTGCGGTGCGGCTGATGAGAAAATAAGTATCATACGTATGAGGCTAGTACTAGACATTGAATACAGACGTGTCGAATGCGCGATGCGGATGTGGAAAGTAGCTGCACAAAACTGAGGAACTTACCTGATCGAGGATAATAACGCTCCAGCGAATGTGCGAATAGCGACTGGGACGAGCGAGAACCGCCGCATATGTGGTCAGGCACACATTCACGGAACCGTGGGCGACAGCAGAGCGTAGACGACGGGTTGAACCTGACGGCTCATGTGGAGTCTTCGATGTGCGAGAGCCTAGACCCAGGCAGGTAACCTTGAAGCCAGGACACCAGTGTGATAACCGGCTGCGCCAAACCGGGAGGTAAAGGCGCGGAGTGACGATCAAGTGTGGACCCCAGTCCCCAAAGCCCGGATCAAGCACAGTCGATGTCTCCGGATCCGAATGGATAGGGTTGCATCCGACTGGGATGACTAGCTGACCAAGATGAGCCGCGACGGCAAGTTCAGCATCACCCGACATTGGATTGGAAGGAAGAAGTAATGCGGGTACCTGAAGAGGAAGCGCGTGGCGTAACCAACTGACGACAACGGCTGAAATGAAAAAGATGATGGGATATGAATTTCCATGCGACAATCGAAAACATAAAAACACCGGAGGAGTAGAGCTTTTGTGCCTATGTGATATGAAACAAAGCTAAGAAAAATGACTGAATAGGCCGGAAATAGAAAGTATGGAATCTTACCTCTTAACATCTACATTCTAGATGAAGCGTTTCGTTTTAATTGCGAAGTAACACAGCATACACCGTTTCTAGGGATTAAACTAAAACGCTTATCCTTTTCGTAAGAATCACCATTAATTGGGCCTCCGAAAAAACAGATATCTGTCCAACAAAAGGATACGCTGACAGCGTATCAAGTATTCCATCTTTACTGGGAGCTCATCCTAAGAAGTGCATTGGTCACTCCGAGATTAATATAAGATCGCTTCGAAATGCGAGGGGGGGGAGGGACGCTGATGACCGGGAAAAACGAATGGTGTATCACAAAATTACGGTTGCAATGTGTTGAGGGGGAGGATCGAAATAAAGAGCGAAAAATGAATAATGATAGAGCGTATATAGAAAAGCACTTCGATCAAAATTAATCCGCACGGCAGCGAAAACAACGTAGTCCTGGATAAAGAACCCAGCGGAAACGTAGCTAAATTTTTCTCCGGGAGTGCAGTTACGTACTGGGACCTAGTCAGACCAGCTTTCTGAATTTTAATAATGAAAAATAATGTGTCAGCTGTACGCCGTAGCGGCGCTTTGCTGCCGCGCGACCACCACCAGTCGCATGTGGGTTGAGTAAACCGCGAAGGCGCACACACCTACGCGGATTCGAACCGGTGTAACAGTTCCATAACCGCTTGAAGATGAAAAGAGTGAGAATACAAATTAAAAAGATCATCACACGGAGGTTATTAAAGAATTGGGAAACTGAGGCAAAGGTCCAGTTAACTAGACAGCTAAGGATGATGCCAGGGCTCTTAACCTCTTCTAGTTAACCAAGCAATCACGACACGATCCTTTAGTACTGACACCCAAGTGTATAGACAGCAGTAACTTCCAGTTCTCCAACGCTTGTCTAGGCGTTTGTTGAGCACCTAAACAGAGGGTAGTTGCAACTCGAGGTGTGACTATTGTCAAGGAGCCCGGTGCACTAAGTTAACAGTAGTAGTATCGCTGGATTAAGGAACATGTAGCACTGATCGGTTGTTTTTACAGCACCAAGGCCTCAGACAGGCCACCAGTAACAAATAACTACAGTACCTCATCGCGTGAGGCACCAGCAGTACGCCGGCACAGCGCACCGACTCGTCGCTGCCACGTGGCCACCAGCGGTTGCGTGTGAACTGGGTATACCAAGAGGCCACCCACATCTGAGCGGATTCGAGCCAGTGATTTTCGGATTACTAGACAAGTGCGTAGTCATTTCGACCATAGGCCAAAGGAGCCCACTTGGTCAGTACTGCAAGAGATGAGAATACATGGTGTGTTGTGGTCCCTTCAAACGTACCTGAATAATGCTTTCTCGTTACGACACTGATAACCGCTGTCAAAAAAGTGCAGCAAATCAGTGTGAGGTATGCGATAGAAGACCATTTTATGATTGCGCAACAGTTATTCGGTGATGAAGTAACGATATGATAGTACTGTTGCCGATATTCATGAAAGTAAGGTATAAGGAGAAAGCATGTATAGAAGTGTGCGAGGAGACAAGAGTGGAAGTATACGATTATCACGCTGTTAGATTTTATTGGAAAATGCAACAACGAAACTTATGGTTATGCTGTGATCAAGGGAAAGGAGAGCAGAGTCCTTATATGCTGACGTGAAATAAGTGCTTAGATTGGCACGATGATGGAAGGTGCGCAAACTGACGGAGTAGAAATTAGCGGTAATTTTTACAGGGCAAGACACCAAAAACGATACGGAAAGAACAGTGGAGCAGGTGATATGATGATATTTGTCGAGAAAATAAAAGATCGCAAGCACCCAGTGAGGGCATACGTGTGCCAGCCGTATAAACGGTCAGTCCAGTAAAAAAGCTTGGTTGCGAAGAACGTGAAGTTTGATACTCACCTATACTATACAGGGGGAGAGTGGAGAGACGAAAGGTTGGAAGATTTGCAGCCGCACACACGTCGGCAGTGGTATTCAAATCCGTCAGAAGAGTTTTCAAAAGCGAAAATAAACGCAAGGCGTTTGATTGGATCTCAACGAGGCTAGACTTCGAAAGGTTGGACGATAAATTCGGACCCCATGGTGGGACGGTTAGATGAGCTGCTGGTCGATTGAAGGTAGTGGTAGTGTCGGAAAGCGAAAATAAGACGCCTCCGTCAGGAGGAACTGTAAAACTAACATTGTCGTTTGCACTAGATGAGTCCATTGCGGTCAAGCAGGTATCCTGTCCGGAAAACACAGATGACTGCAAGAACTGATGGGGTTCACTTGTGGTGATCCGCAGTTGTTTATCGCGAATAGAGAGGTAATCGTCGGGCAAAACACTTTCTAGGGGAAGAAGAGCTTCCGAATTGAGTAGGTCCACTTCTGTTTGGATTTCCTAGAATACAAGCGAAAATAAAACAGATATGAAGCAAGCATTTCCCTTTATGATTCCAAACACAAAATGAGAAGAGGAAGATTGCGAGATGACGCCGTCATTTCGTGCATCCTTATCAGGTACAAAAAACATGTAACATCGAGACATAAATGGTGACCGTAGACAGCAAAACGCATGGGCTACCTCGGTAGGCCTAAAGCCACTGTCAGCCGTTTTTGAATGCACAGCAGTGGTCGTTCGCGAACGATAACGATAGCCTCCAATAGCCTAAGGATTTGGGGTCGCTGATCGCGCCTTCAGACTGTGAACGAGTCATTAGGATTGAATCGGTGACCAGTAGTCGGCAAGTGCCTGGTGATTGATGAGATAGCTCGGTTACCCGAGTCAACTGATTCCGTCTTCACAGATCCCATGAGGCTGCGTAATCACTTAGGGATGTGCTCATTGATTCGGACACCTAGGCTTCGGTCAGTGCACTCAAAGTAGCTGTCTCCACAGCGACAGGTGGGTTTGTATAGACAGTGGGACATGCACTGCTTTGGCATCAGTGTCTTAATCGAACACATTAGCATAGGTTTAGTGGCGATGAGGTGTCGTGAATAAGCCTGTTCGAATAGGCTGCTAAACAAAGATGAGTAGTGAACAGGCTGACAATCACCCTTTCGTGAAACCCAACTCATTAACTCAGGAGCTGTAGCAACAAATTACGGAAACAGTTGTGGTGTGTGCGAAACAGACAAAGGGTCTATTCACTAAATCGAATACCTATGGCATAGTCGAAGATGAGGCAGGCACCGCATACATCATTGGTTGGAAAGAAAAACGCATAAGGAAAGCGAGAACCGTTCCGTGTTATAATGACCATGTACAGCACCTCCGTGAGTAGTACATTCGCCCAACTTAGCTCTCCGTGAAGTGACTCGCAGTGCGCGACCAATATGCACAAGCGTGCAGATACATAGGTCTGGACTCGGACGACATGGTATATTAGTGGATTAAAATATTGCGCTGCACAGACTGCGGTTTGGGTATACCCGCACAGTACTGCCAAAAGGCGCTCCACTAACGCACATTAAAAGGAACTCGGAGAACATGAACTGTCGACGGTCCACCGTTTACGATGATAATAGGAAGACAATATATGTTCAACTCGTGATGGTGGCGAGCTATTCTGCGAGCTGGATATTTCGTTTGCGTGGAAGTTTTACTGACGATGGTGCTTGAACCGTTCGCAGAGCTTAGCAATTTTGTTGCAAACATTTCGTCACCAAGCGAGATGACATCGTCAGTGCGTAGTTGAGTGGCGTGCAGTAGTGTAGAGGAGCCTTGGTGAGAGTGCAGTCTCAGTTTATTGGAGTAGCCGGTAAAACGGAGGTGCGCCACACGAATCGTTAGTGACAAATTAGAAATGCAGTGGTTTTTCAACAATAGCTTCAAAAGGGAGGAGAGTAAGGGAGTATCCGTATGAGCGTAATGGAACGTGGGTCTGCTCCCAATAGTAGGGATTACACTGCGACCTGAACGCGGTTGAGAAAGACTGGAGAACAACACGGAGAAGACACTGTGGCACGCAGTACAGACCTCTTTGGCTTTGGAGTACCTGATGAGTCTTTTGAACTTCTTATTTGCCTTAGGATTGCGCGGATAATCCATTCATACAATGCGTGCTCCAAAATGACCCCTTATGAGTTGTTTAACGTTGGGGCAAGCGTCGCCCGTAGTTCGGTGGCGTAGAAGTAAAGACCTCAGTTTATGACTTCTAGGTCCCGGATTGGAGCGGGGTCCTTCCATCTCTACCGAAAGAATGCAAATAAGCATAATGCCGTACGTGGGGAGTATTGTGGCGAGTGATCAAGGTCTAAGATTTAAATGTTTCAGATACGATCCCAGTGACCGAAATGACCAAGACTGCGTGTCGCAATGTGTTTGCAAAATGAGTGCATGAAGTGAACAGGCGACAGATCTCAGGTATTTGAATCACCAAAGCCACATTCGGAGCATGAACATCATAACTGACCATCGCCCCGAATAGTGTAACAGGAGTGAACAATAATGAAAATCTAATTAGAACCAACGTCTCCGTAGGACGGAAGTAGGACAGTGCGAACCCGCTGGAGATAGTAAAACCTGAAGGTAAATCAAGAGTACACCGAAGGTTCGCTTTGGATGAATGATACTATGAAAAGCGTAATGCAGCCTGAGTTTAACCAACGAGTACTTCTTGGAGAAACGAAGCCTAAACTCGCTCGTTGCACAACAATAACGATCCTCAAACGTGCCAAAGAACGTCCGTCGCACAGCGTTTTATAAACTCGTCTAACGAAAGAAGCAAGCACGATAAGTGGGGCCGCCCCTTAGAATCCAGTCAAGCAGATGCAAAAGAGACATTAAGGGGGCTGCGTTAGTGCTTTTGCCAGATGATAGCAGTGACAAATCCACGTGGACTTCGGAGGTAAAAAGACACCTCATCAGGTGCATATGGCAACGTATTAGATGGCAACTGTATATGAGACAGACTACGAAAAGTTTCACTGTACTCATTTGGAATTTACATTTTGAGAACGGATAACGGACGTGAGTAAAGAAAAATGACAAACAAATGACTTACTGAAGGGCAGGGATCAGCGTGTTTTTCATCGGCGATTGATTCATCGGGATTCTGTGTGAGAAGTATGTTTTTATCAGTCGACGTGTAGTCGGTTGAATCAGAGCTATGAAACCGTGGACTATAAGGAACCGAACTAAATGAGTTCTCCTCATTGTGAGGAGTACTTTGGTTTGATTTGCAATATTGCTGCTCAGCCTCAAGTTTCGCCTCTAGTTGGCAGAGATATTCATCCTGAGGATCCGGATCGGCAGAATATAGTACAGAGGGAATATGGAGAATGTGTTCGTCGGTTTTCCACGAGTTCAACTCCTCGATAAGCGGACGAGTTGGAGACAGTAATGGAACGCGAATATCAGATTCCTGTGAATCAAGATAGCATCCATCATAATCGCCATCTGTGTCACCGATAAAGCTAACTGCGCGGCTACTGCTCGTTGATCGACTGCGCGATTCATCACTGCCAGAGGTTTCGGTGCACGACGCAGGTGCCCAGTCACTGTCGTCAGTTTCTCCGTCGCCGACAGAAATGAATTTATCATCTTTGGGCTGGTGACTCCTTTTCAAACGGTTCTGTGATGAAGTGTTGTAGTGAACTTTGGCCATCCACGAAGGGCATAAATCAGAAGCAGTGGCAAGAAGAGCAGTGTTCTGGTTAAGGAGGTGTCTGCGATGTTTTCCAGTTGCGCTCAAGCTAAGAGCACGGAGTTCCTACAAATAAAAGGAGAAAAGGAGATATAATAAAACTACCGTGGATAGATGATAACCGTTGTCAAGTGGGAGGTGACGAAGATTCATTGTACCGAAATTAAAGTAGAGTCAACTGAGTGCGAACAGCTGGTCGAACACTTATAATTCAAGGAGAGTTTAAATAACAAACTGTTTTGGGGTTGTGTCATAGAGAATCTGCAATAAGCGAATGCCTGCTGTGAGCACAGGGAAGTGAGGTGCAAATCGTACTCGCTACTGAACCGTGTATCTTTCCGAGAGCGAACAGTTCAACATGAGAAAAATGAAAGGCATAATTGACAAAATCAAACACCAGTCTTGTGCATACCTTCCGTGCATTGCGCCACCATTCCCCGACCATCGATGCCACATATGCAGCGTTGCGCTTGCGGAGGACCTCCACAGCGACCTCGCATCGTCTGTTCCATTCCTGACGAAGCCGTAAATAGTTGCGAGCAGCATTGGCGAGCTGAAAAAGCAAAACGGTAACGTACGAACATCATTTCAGCATAAGGGTTCCAAAAGAGGCAGTGATCTTCAATATCAGGAATATCGCAAGCCTGGAGCCGTGGCCGAATGCTATATGAACATCTAACTACATTCTGGAAGAAACTTGGAACCGATTAATTAGTGAGGTGCTAGAAATCGCCAAGGCCACTAACTGCGTAAACAGAATGGACGACTGTGTTAACTCGGCCAGTCTGAACAACTTTGGCGGACGGATTCAGGTTAGAGCGAAAACATCGCACTATCATCACTAGAGCCAAGTCCAACATCAACACAGCCTCACATGTGAATGACCCATTACACGGATCAATTGGGAAAGTTCCATGCTCATTGTACCACCAAATTGACCCGTTGACCCTCCGAAACTGTAACCACAGTTATCCACTGACCCAGATTATCTCTCGCTATCTAATTTCTAATTTGCTATAAAAATCCAAACTAAGTCTGTACTAGTTCAGCTGGCCTGAAGAAGCGCTTGTGTCAAAGGCAAGACGTTGTCAAATTGCAAGCCTATATAAAACCGATTTGTATTCTAAAACCTGTGGAAATTATGAAACACCAAATTATGTTAAGAATACAGAGCTGAAAATTGAAAAGACGAAAAGTATGGATCATAGCGGGCCTGTGCGGACGTGAGAGGCAAAAAGTGAGTGCGAGGTCTTGCTGATCGGAGATACGCGGATGTTTTCCACCGCAGAATATACCAAGCAAAATGAGGATCTCACGTATTCGCCAGATAGTGAGAACCAAGAATAAAATGAGTCAAAGCACAGTACATTCATAAACACTTACATTTGGACGCAATCAACCGAGTACGAGATGCACTTTACTGAATTAACAACGTACTAAAAACGTGCCGATCGGTGAAAATAAGTGGTATATTAAGGTTACATGTGGATGTGACACTTAATTTCCGAAGTATTCGCTGCAAATGATACATAAAATCAGCTCAAACCGAGCTGTGGAGTCCATACTAGTGAAGATACGAAGAAGTTCTGTTGTGAGAATCCAAGCCCGCTAAATGCAGACGCACTTTGACGCCAATACCCTGTGTTTTCGTGAGCGTAAAGAATAAGTGCCGTGTGCTAACAAAGCTAACAGTGTGTGCTAGGTCAAGAAACAGTGGAATAGTTGCATACGCTAGTGTGGCTGCTGAAGCCGGAACTGGTCCCTTCTTGATAAAAATGGGGGACAGGATGCCTGAAGGGGAAATGGCTACTGCCTCGCAGACATGATACTCAAAGTCGCGTATTCCAAGAGGGGATTAGGTACAACGTATATGCCTCTTGACCCTAATTCAATAGTCTGGTACACTAGAGAGTGAAGAGCCGGTCCAGCTAGTGAGTGATTACAAAGTGGCAGTGATCGACCATATACGAGGTTGGAAGATCCAAAAGTAGAGGTACAGTCAAACTCGGTTTATTGCCCACCCGGTTTATAGTTCAACCCGATTTATTGCCCAGTTGTTCAAAATACAATTTTTTTCTCATAAATATGCTAAATGTTCACGGTCTAATTGCCCATTGCCGGGGGGGGGGGTCGCACCGCTTAGTTGGCCAGCCCGCCTGGGCTGTGCTCTTGTCGCATCGTCAATGTTACGCCCTCGCTCTGAGTATCTTTTATTACGATTACCCCACAGCTAGGCTGTCCGTTCGAGTCAGGAACAACAAAGATGTCGGCGATGTTATTGACAGATAAGAAAAGGTTACTTACGTCATTCAATACACGAGCAAGCTAATTGTACAGACGGCTGTAGGTAAACTCTCGGCTCTATAAAAACTCGAGAATTAAGCACAGTCGGGTAATCTTTTCACCCAACATCTCTGAGTACTCTATTGGTTACACACAAGTACGGCCAGTGACAGGAAGCATTTGTCTTTAACTGAAAAGTTTTCGCGTGATTTACAAATTTCTCACCGTGCCCTAGCCTGGTTGATTGTCACCGAAAAGGAACTCTGGCAGAATTTGTCGCATGGCACTGCAAGCTCATAGAAAAGAAAGCGATGGGGAAAGGATGGAGAAACTGAAGCTACATGGAAAACCGGATGATATCGGTTCGTGAGAGCAACTAAACAGTTACAGGCCCGCTTCTGAAGGAAAAGGCAGAAGAATTCGGAAAAAAACTTGGAAAAACCTTTGCCGCCACAAAAGGATGGTTGTAAAGTTGGAAGAATAGAGATCAAATTGTGTATAAACGTGCGCATGTCGAAAAGAGCTCCGCGGGCAGAGCTGTCTGTGAAAATTGGCTAAAAGATCGACTGCCTGAAGTTTTAAATGCATTTGATGATGACAACCTGTACAATGCGACGTAACAGGTTTTTTATCGAGTAACTCCAGAGGGATCTTTGTGTTTTTTTGCCGACAGCCTCAGTGGATCGAAAAAAGCCATTGATAGGATCACTCTCCCGTGCTGCGCGAATATGTCTGGCACGGATAAAAGAAAACTAATTTTGATTGGAAAAGTAAGAAACCACGACGGTTCAATGGCGTGAACGTGGACACACTTCCCGTAAGTTACAGAGCTAACAAAAATCGATGGATGACGAAGGAATTTTTCACCGAGTGGGTCTTCGAATGGAACAAGGAGCTAGGCCGAAAAATTAGGTTGCTCTTGGATAATTGCACAGCGCATCCACAGGTAAAAGGCTTGAAAAACATTCAGATGGAATTTTTGCCGGCAAACATGGCCAGCATTTTTCGACGTATGGACCAAGATGTGATTATGAATCTGAAAATCCGTTGCAGAAAAAATTGTGCACCGGATTCTTTATCATATCGAAAACAACGTGTCATCTGGCTCATCGACGGCAGTGGATGTTAGCGCCAGAATTTCTGTGCTCGATGCAATACAGTTCGTTTCAAAAATTTGGAGCCAGATTACAGGTGCAACAATGAATGCAAGCTTTCGGCATGCTGGCTTCATTTGACTGGCATCCGATGCACTTTCTGATGACGTCGTCATCGCTGAGGACGAGATCAGCGCTTGCACAATCCCAGTCATCAATGCAGAAGAGTTCGTCGCCATTGACAACGATGTGGAATGTACCTCAGATCTGACAACTGCTGAAGAGAAAATCGTCAGTAAAATTTTAGAGAATCGACTAGTACAGAAAGGAGGCAGCGACTCAGAGGATGACGTGCCGAATGCCTCAGGAAGTAACGGCAAGCAGCGCGTGTCGCATTCAAGAGCAAAGAACTGTGTGAATGATCTGTGTAGCTACGGATTTTGCATGGGCTAGGCAACGATTTCTTGTCCAAATTGGACTTCATCAGTGCAAAAGTGACTGGAGTAGCAGCTCAAAATAATGTACAATTGACGTTGGATTGTTTCTCAGCAAAGATATACAGTGGCACCAGTTTCTATAGCTATTCGGTAATTTTTAAATTATAAGTCTTACTCGTCTGAATAAACGCCTTTTGCAGGCTTTAGTTTTAAGTAAGTATTTTATACTTCTTAGAACGTTACAATTCAAGTGATCTATTGTACAATAATTCAGCGGTTGCTTCCTGTTTGCAGAAATAGCAATATCGGTTAATCGCCCACCCCGCTTCATTGCCCAATTGTGAAATATCCCGATGGTGGACAATAAAACGGGTTCGACTGTAATTGCAATTACCCGGTTGACTTTAGGTAGGTTACAAGTTTTTGACCAATAGCTGTCTGTCTCTCTGTCTCTCCCTGTCACCAGACCAGCAAGCAAATGTGTAATCACTGGACATATCCTGTACTGTTTAGTCCGTCAAACAAATCGGGTGATGTTGTTTGATGAACAGTTTCCAATAGAAAAACTAATGAGAATTGGAATAAGTTAGATACGGGTGCTAAAAATACAGTGACGCTGAAGCTGCAATCGTCTGCACTGAGCGACTGCTCAGCGATGACTATGGAAGATACGCTGGTTATGGAGGCGTTAGCCTTAGCAGATTGGCGCTTAGCCACTCTGTTGTATGCGGAAGATAAAGTGATCTACTCCAACAGCTATGAATGTCATGTTAGTACTAATTCTCAATCTGGAGGGTTAAGAAGCAATTTGGGCTCAAACCATTGACCTACCTGGTAGGGAATGACTCATGAAGAGTCCCAAAGCAACAGCAAGTGTCGCTCAATAGATAGGATTTAGAATGCAGTGTCTCCTCGAGTCGAAAACAGGAAAAGCGTAAATAAAAATGGAAGATAAATTCATTAGACGCCCATAAAAATTATCACACTCACAAGAACCGCAAGTGAAATTTAGCCCCATCTAAAATTCGTTGTGTTAATCACAGGTAATGCTGACCTCAAGCAAACCAAATGTTCTCATTCTATCAGTGAAAATCACGAAAAAAAACGAGTGTTACGTTAAGAATTCTTTTCGGGTGAACTCCTATGAGATCTCAACGTTTTTATAGCACAGATTACGTGCTTTAAGCATCGAACCCCTAGGCCGAGTATGATAGGTATCCCATATGTGTATTTGTAAAAGCTAACTGATAAAAAACGCAAGTAAGCATGACAAAAAGGATTGCAATCGTTATGCGATGGATAACCTCTACCGAGTTGCAACCATTGAGTGTCATCAAGGACTAGGGAGAAGGAAGAAGGTAAAAGCTGGGGCAAAATCACTGAATCTGTGCGAAAGGATACTAATCTATCGTGCAATTGGCTATACAATACAAACAAATAGGCAGCAACAACATGACAAAAGTCTTTGTCTGTTAGATATTACTACAACTACTACATCAAGATAAAAAATATCGGAATACAATGCACGAAGTGCTCGATGTGCCAACCGAAAGATTGGGAGTACCTTAGGCCTATGAGGTTCGCTAAACTAGCCCAATGCAAAAAAGGCTTACATCAAGAGCCATCTTCTTTTTCCATTTTCTTTCTTCAATAAAATCTGCTGATAACCATAGCATCTCACTGAAAAAGCAATCCTGCCATGTTGGCTTTTCCCGCGGTTCCAGTACTTTAGGAAGTCGGCTGGCAGACCACATTCCTTGCTGCTTTAACTCAGCCACTTGTTGCAGTACTGTTGCTTCGCGCTTCGCATCCTGTGCAATCTCTGGATAGAAGTTAACGGGTTTTGAATGCGTCTCAGAAGGAGGCACATCTGGATCAGTATGTCCCACTGTAGGTTGTGCTTTCGGTTCTAGCTGTCGTTTGAAATAAACACCAAATTTGATTCGATCATCGTTAGTACGTGCGAAAAGCGTGGACAGAGCGAATTCCGAATGCTCAGAACCAACAGAAAAGCCATTTTCTCGGCGGCTATGTGCGAGTCTAAGACTCGCCTTTACTTCAGGATTCAGAAAAAAGTCCGTGTCATCTAATGAATCAAGTTCCTTGTTTATAACTTCTAATTTGTCAGCCTCCCACTGAATGGAACATATCTTTGAGAGATCCTCAGTAGGATGACTTCCAGTGATTCGGCAAAGTTTCTTACGTGGGGGAGATCCATCGTTGCTTGAGCTGCAAATCATTGCTGGAAAAATAAACGAACTTTGGCTTATATGTCGTAAGGTTATAGGTACGTTCCTATGAAGCAACAGCTTAAAATGGATTAAAGATAATACTAAAGTCCTTGCCATTAGAGAGTAATTCAACAGGAGTAAAACCAAAAGGCACACTAAAAAGCGTATAACAAAAAAGAGAGTAAATCACAACCTTGTTCCAATATCGTAGGAAAAATGTGATGGTAGTTAATAGCCAGTTAAAAGCCACCCCATGGCTTCAGTAACCCATCAAGAGTAATAGTGGGCTAAATGGGTAGCCATCAGGCAAGATGATGTCCGGCTGTTGTGTTGCAAACCAAGATGGAAGGCACTGCTAGTATGCCGGCAGAACGAGTAATTAGGAGTGAGGCAATCCGAATGATTGATAAAATATGCATTAGAGAGAATAGTAAAGAACATGGCATCACTTGGTCACGGCTTCATGATGACTTTGCCGGACGAATTAACGGTCAGTAATATTCGGTCCAGGTTGATTTCTACGATGGCCTGAAGTGTCCTGCATTGATCGTATCACACCGCTTGTTACGGTCTTAAAGCTCCAGCATTTGTTAGCCGTTTTACGGTTTCGCATATCCTAATCTCTGGAAACGACACACCGTTCAATGCTGCAGGTACTCTTCCAGTCATTTCAGCTCGTCAGTAATGCCATCCAAGACTATGACACTCTTTCTGTTCAGTGTTGAACGTTCAATTACTCTGCGTTATCTTAAACGGTGATTTAACTTCCATCAAGAGCTGTTTGTCTTCTCACCTCCCGTGTTGTGGGGCGTGTGATTTATTGACGGAAATCAATAACATAACAGTAGACAAGCCAAGCACCTCGAGAACTAGAGCAGTGGTGAAAGTGGGGGAGATTTGTGTACATTCCATCGCTGTGCTCATAATTTATTAATCGAAAGTAAAGCGGGAGGCAATCGACGGCGCTCGCTCCCAATAACGTGCTGTGCTACCAGTCTGGAGCTCGGAACGAAGTGACCGACGGCTGACACGCTGATCCTTAAACCCACCGCGAGGAGACTGAAATTTCACAGAGCACGCCGGTTTATGTACCTCCAGGGAACAACAGTGAGTGTCACTGTCCAATTGCTTTCAAAGGCGTTTCCACTAGGTAGGTTAGGGGATCAGGCAAAATAAGTCCCTTCATCTTCTTCCTTATAGAGGTTGGTGTCTTTGCTTCTAGACTGAGGTATAGGACGTGACAGTTACAAGTCATAGGTCCAATCCGAATCGTATAAGGCATGGGTACCCTATGCTGCCTGCGACGGTTGGAGAGCAACACATTGGTTCGACAGTTTGCCACTAACAGTACCAAGCCAGCCCGCTCGTGATAAGAAGTGCGCAATCACCAACATTCAAGGGCAATTGACTGTAGTCGCAATTCGAAAATTATGGGGTAGGTTAAAATGGCGCATTAATTCAGAATCCCCTGGAGTTGCGCAAAGCAGGTTCTAGTGAAATCCAATGCGGTGCTGCAGTCGCACTCCCGAGCTAGAAGCGAACCCCACTATCTCGGGTTAAACTATTGAAACAAAAGGAACGACTAGAGTCCTTGAAGCAACTGAGTACTTACTCACTGTCTTTTGGACCAAACTGTTAAACAAAGAGCCAGAAGTAAGGCAACTCGGACACAACAGTTATCTCGGAGTGGATGACAGTGATCAATCTTCCTTCCCTCCTCTATTTCTTCTTAACGAACACCTATCTCCTGTCTACCGGTAACCACTGACTTCACCAGCTACGACAACAAAGTCGGCAGGATAGCTTTCAGACACAAAAGTACTCCGCAGTGAGGGGTTTCAGTGTCGCTCGTTTTCAACACAGCCTCCCAAACTTTATATCACGCAGTGAGTCTTTCAACGGTGGCATACTGTATCAGATCGGTCAATATGTGGCACCTGACAAAAATTTGTACTCACGCGGAGTTGATCTTCATTGTGGCTCCGAAACAAGCATACGGCACAACGGTGTGCCAATGCAACTACACTTACCAGACTCGGGGACCAATAGCGGAGCATACATGCTTCGCGGTATTTATGATTCTGCAGTCACTCAGTTCAAAGTTACGTAGATACGGGTGGCCTCACTGTGTGCCTAGCCCGCGTGCGACTGGTGTTATCCACGAAGCAGCGAAGCGTCCTTGCGAACACTGGCATAGTGCTTCCACATTTTGCTTTTCCTTGCACTCTCAGTAGGAATGCAGTCTGATCTTTCAAAATGAGTGCCAACAAATGGCCGCAAGTGCACCGTTCGACTTTCATGTTTCATTAGTCGTGAAGAAGCGGCTCAAGACAAGGTGCTTTTTATTTTTGCTTACGCTCTTACCGACTGCAATCGTGAAGGCTAAAAGTGATTTCTACCAGCAACTTTCCCCCTAAATCGGACCGGCAAAGATAAGGCACCGTGATTGTTAGGAGGAGCGCATCCTAAGGAATGAATCAGAGAACCCCACACGGACCAAACCCCAACCTTTTTCACAAATCAAGCACTAGCCGATCAAACGATGTTCTCGGATAATCTAATACTATTACTGGTAAGTAAAGAATAGAAGAGAACAAAGAACGCTAAATGTCCCCAAAATCTCTAAATACCGGTCGTCTGCGCCAAGTAATTGTCTCGGATCTGGAAGACATTAAACTGGAACCTGCAGCCTTTCGCTCTTAAAACGCCCAATTAGAGCAGTCCGATTATCGGATAACCAATCAGCGCTGCACGGCGCGACATTGGTGAACAAGGTAAATGAGAACGCTCAAGTCAACCACATAACATTCGGAACAACCTCAGACGTCGCTTAGCTTTTGAAAACGAAAATCGCAGTCACAACCGACATATACACCACAGCTATGCAATACCAGCGTCTAAATCGAGTTACATATCGTTGGTTGAATGATAGGCAAACCTAGAATTAAACTGATCACATCGCCATCAGAGATAGATGTTGAGCATGAGTGCAAAACCGTTGATCGAGCTAGACTTGTCGTATCCATTTCAACCATGCTCTTGTACGTGCTCGCGTTACGCGCACTCCACCCAGTTCAGCTAAATATTAATTTCGAAGATAGAGCAAAGAATTCTTCTCGCTAATTCTCCTGACTCAAACATTACATGATGATAAGAAAGTGCTAAATGTGACGGATTGGGCTGCGTATTGATCACATTGTTTAATTCCAATAGAAACAAATCAACCAATCACGGGTTCATTGAAGGTTGCAAAGTATGTACAGGGGAAATCACAGCCGAAGTTGTAGGCCACGGTAGAAGTAAAGGACGTACAAACTGTTTTTGTACGCACAATTCTGGCTTGAGGTGGCGGATGTAGATAGCTTCCGCAATAAACAGCAAATGATTCCGGAATCCGCGCGAGAAACGTTCAGGGATAGTATAGATGATTCTGAAATCGTTTTTCGTCCCTGCGTGACTGCACTCTAGAAGGTGAGGCAAGATGGAGTTGTTACTAGACCTCGCTTCGCCTTTGTTAAACCACTTCGGGATGTGTTCGCGAATCCTATGAGATAGGCGCCTTGTAGTACGACCCACGTATTGCGCACGGCAGAAGCAAGAGTAAAGATAAACATGCATTGATCGAGTCACCGGAAAGATTCATCTCACAGCGGATGCATCCCATCATAGGCCTAACGGAAGAGTTATGAAGCCCTTTCGAAGCATACGTAGAACAGGTTAAAAAGCAAAGGGGTGCACAGAAAAGAAATAAGTTGCTTAGCTCGCTAAATAGCCAAGTGCCGCAACTGAACTTTCCGAGTAACCCGGAGCGGTACGTGTTTAACCTTTCTAGTATCGTGCTTAGTCCAACACAACTAAATGTTTTATCATTACGTCCTAATTTTTGCATTTCTTGCAAAAACTAGATCAGGCTGCAGTAAAGGTGTAATTTGAGAGCTTAACATCGCAGGCGCGCGATCTGTTACCAAATTCGCCAGGGGAAGTTAAGAACATGTTATCCAGCTTAGTAAACACCTGCCATGATTACATTAAGGTTAGAACAGCCAGTAGTGGTATTCTTACAGGCGAACATATGCAGTCACTTAGAGAGGTATGGTTAAACAAATAGTTGATTGTCTCTAAGCCGGATAGAGGTTCTGGTATAGTTCGCATAGAACTGATTATGTTAGTACGATGCAACATATTCTTAGTGATGAATGTAAGTTTCAAAAGCTAACAGTAGAAAAGGAGAATACAGAAGAGTTAGAAAAACTACTGACCGATTTGCTCCAACGAATGATGAAGGCGAATGTTATCCCAAAGTGCGAATTCGAAAAGCTGAGACCTTCAGGCGGACATCTACCACGGTTGTATGGCCTCCCTAAAGTCCACAAGGAGGGTGCACCAATGCGTCCCATACTGCATATGGTTAGCTCTCCGCAATATTTGATAGCGCAATGGATGAGAAGCTGGAACCGCTACGTAAAACTGTTTGCACTTACTGCGTGAAAGACCCTTTCGAGTTCATTGAGAAGATAAGGGGCGTGAACCTTAACAACAAGTGGATGTCATCATTTGATGCGCAGTCGTTGTTTATGAATATAACATTGCTGGAAAAAGTGGAATGTTTGCGAACTTGTACGACAACTGAATGTAGGTCTAAATCTCCCGGGAAACCTTCTGAAGGAATTGTTACTCAGATGCACCTTAAACGTGCAGTTCACCTTCAACGGGGAGATGTATCGTCAAATTGATGGAGATGCCATGTGCTCATCATTGAGACCCTTACTAGCAGATGTCTTTATGGCAAAATTGGAGCATAACGTAGTAAGAACGCACAGCAACGAAGTCGAGATGTATCTACGTTATGTAGACGATATATTTATACTCTGAAAAGCGAAAGCGCAGACTGTGAAACTGTTGGAAGCCCTTAATGATGCGCATCAGAATCTACAATTCACATGTGTGCACGAGTCCAGAAACCGACTACCGTTCCTGGACGTTGATATCATCAGAAACGCCGATGGATCGTT